CTAGAAGGGCAGTCTATTAAGAAGTGTTACCAAGTAGAATTTGAGAGAGGAATTTGGAGGTAGATAGGATTAAGATGCATTATATACATGTGTCAAATTTTCAAAGATGACTGACCCAGACCCCCTGAAGTGGGTGCCAGTGAGGAGTCCTAGGTAATCTATGGGGCCTTGAAGGGTAGTACTTATCCCTGGCATACAAATAGACTTTCAGTGCCCATCCCACAATGAGGGATGCTCTCTCAGCCTGGACCTCTTGAAGGAGGGGCCTAGAACCTGCCCTGGATGAAATGACAGACTCTAGAGATCCACCATGAAGGGCCTCATCCTCCCTGGTGATCAGAGTGGAGATTGTATGCGGGGGCTGGGGGAACTGGTGGCTAGGGATGGTGAGGAGGTCAAGAGCCAGATCACACACAGAACCTTATGTCGTAGGGACAGGAAACAAGGCCAAGAAAGAAGAGAATAGTAGGGGGGAAAAGCCAGTATCCCTATACAAAAAAATTTTAATGACCTCTAGTTAAAAAATCAACTCCAAGGCTTAAGTATAAGGCCTAGAAATTAAACATTTCAAACACATTTCTACTCCAAATAAAAAAATTCAACCTACTACTAACCTAAAATATACCACTTGGTCAAAAACCACTGAATAATAAATTTGTGAAAGGTAGACATCTGGTATTTTTTTGTGTATCTATATTTGTATAAACAGGATTTCATGTAACCCAAGCTAACTACAAAATTACTTTGTAACTGAAATTGGCCTGATTCTCTGGTCTCTGCGTTCCACATGTTTTAAGAAATGCAGCTCACACGAGAAAGATGCATGCAACAGGGTTCAAGCAGAGGGATATTTTATTGGGGAAAGGGATCATTAAAAGGGGAAGGGGGCGGTAGGAGAAGTTTTCTGGGGACACAGGCTGTAGGACAGCAAAGAGAGACAGAGGCACAGAGAGACAGAGAGACAAAGAGGCAGAGGCACACACACAAAAACACACACACAAACACACACACACACAGAGAGAGAGAGAGAGAGAGAGAGGGAGAGAGACAGAGACAGGGAGACAGAGACAAAGAGGCAGATGCACAGAGAGAGAGAGAGACAGACAGAGAGAGAGAGAGAGAGAGAGAGAGAGAGAGAGAGAGAGAGAGAGAGAGACATACAGACAGACAGACAGGCAGGCAGGATGGGAGGTAGGCAGAGCCCTTTTAAAAGGGAATAGTGAATGTGCACAGGTGGTGCTCTTAGTGACTGCAGCTGAAGGAATATCCTGTAAGAACCGCAAGGATAGACCAGTACAGATGCTTGAATACAGAGACTACAGCTATGAAACACCACACCCTGGAGACTTGCAAGAGTCCACTTCCTCTACCATCAGCCACCATTTCCTTGATGCAGCAGTAAGGCTATTTATGTGTTATCCACATAATATGCCTGACTCATTAAGAACAAACTCTTACAAATAATTGTGAGTTTAGGTACACACCATTTAAAAATGTGGAGATACAAGTCACTTCCTGGAGGAGAAAACTGAACGTTTATTGATTCATTCGCTCTTAGCACATGGACACCTCTATCTAGAACGTCTAAAAGCATATCAGATTTGGGGTAGTATGCTCTTCCTTAGCTACCACGGTACATGCTTCCTACAGTCATTGAACACCACTCTTCAACGTACAGAAGCAAGCAGATCTGTAACTAAGTTTTATCGTGTCATTAAGCACTTCAGAAAATTGTCAGCTCTTATCAAAAAGTCTGTTAACATCTCTAAAATTATCATTTATTTCAACTAAATGACCTCCTCTATCTTTAGAAAAACACTAGATAATTGACTTATCTACTAACATTTGACAGCTCCACTGAGAAGTCAAAGTGTGGAGTTTCATGATGAAATTATATAAGTTCATTTTTAAAACATCATTTCAGTTGCTTTTCAGTGTTTCACAAGCTCCAGAGGACACGTCTTTCATTTACCTCTCCAATTATCTGTCTTCATACTTCATCTGGTGAGGGTGACCTTCTACTGTTCACATTCTCTGACATTCAGACCTGTTGATTATCTGTTATGACCTTGAACCTACCACAGTCTCTAAGATATTTGTGTTCCTAACCATTTCACTCATTTGTTATTTATTTATTTATTTATTTTGACTGTTACTTCACATCAGCTACATACATAATAGATGACAGCACATGTTAAGAGGGTAATTGTCCATAAATAGCATTTATACTATTGCACAGTGTAGTGGTGGTTTTGTGTGTCAACTTGACACAAGCCAAAGACTCATCAGAGGAAGGATCCACAGCTGAGGAAATGCCTCCTTGAGACTCGGCTGTAAGGCATTTTCTCATTTAGTGATCAATGGGGGTTGGTCTAGCTCATGGTAAATGAAGATGTCCAAGTGGTTCTAGGTTCCATAAGAAAGAAGGAAGAGCCAGCCATAGAAAGCAAGTCAGTAAACAGATTCCTCCATGGCCTCTGCATCAGCTCCTGCCTCAAATTTCATATGACCTGTCTTTTTAAATTACTTTCAGAATAGCAATATCTAATAACATCATACACAATTTTGATAACAGCACATCTTATTCTTGCGTATATAATTATTCACTCCATGTTTTTCACATTCCATGTCATTCAAACAAATTTTGAAACCTACTTTATAAGATAAATAATGTTGTCTTATATATGACTGCATGAGTAACTTTAAATATCCTAGTATATAAATGACAGTGTAAATTGAACGAGAAGATACATGGATTCTTTTTAACCACCTTTCCTAAGGTTTGTATAGAAGCAGTCTGTCTCTTCTATTGCATTAATCACTGCTAACACTTCTCAAAAACTTTAGCTGTATAAGATTCTACAAGACAAACTGGAGGGGAAAATTTAAAAAATTACAAATAACATTATTTCTGTATATTTTGACAGTCATAGTACCAGTAGAAAAGCATGTTGATATTCATATTACGTAGTGTTTTGCCTTTACATGGATGGGATGTATTCACATAATTGGGGAAATTTCACAGGAACTCACCTATAGATGAAAATCTACAAGTAATCAATAGTTGCTCAAAGAGAGATCCAGCTATCTGTAGGCACAGGGCCCTTGATTGTTTATCCAGTGCCAAGTGCTCTTTCCTAAACACATTAAACACAAACACATAGGAGTAACAGTAAGTGAATTCAGCAGTAATTTAAAGAGAGCACACCCAAATATGTGGGATCACAGGAGGAGCAGATGGGGAAAAGGGAGCAAAAGTCATGTAAAAAGAATACTTGTGAATGAGAGTCTCATTAAAAAGCACAAATTAAAGATAGATATTTTAGAGAGGGACTAAGGAGCATAGTTGTAGAACAATTGAAGTATTATTATATGGTTAGCTTTGTAACAGTAAAATAATAAACAACAAAATGTTCTTTGAAAAAACTTCCCTCCCACAGTTACAAAATGAGCAGAATGATTAAATAAAGAAAACATTACAGATTTTAAGGATAAAATCAGTGTGTAAAATAATATTTATGCTTTGTTAATTTGATTTCCATTGGGAAGATGTGTAGTAGAATGTGGGTCTGATAGGGAAGACCTGTGCATAGATCAATAAAGCCCTGTTGACCAATAGGGAAGCAAGATAGGTGGGACTAGGAGTCTAGGAGGATTCTGGGAAATATAGTGAGCCGAGCCGTCGCCATGTGATCCCTGGGAAGAGAGGATGCAAGTCTGCGTTCTCATAAAGGTAAGTCCTTATAAAAATATATATTGGTGATTATGGGTCAATAATTAAGCCAGAGCTAGCCAATGAGAAACAATAACAAATGGCCAACAGCTAATATTTAATATAGTGCCCTGTGTGTTATTTGGGGCTGAAACTGTAGTGGGATAAGCTACACATTATATGGATCACTTAAGAAGGAAGACACATTTTGACTTTGACAAACAGATTTATTTTTAGTATCAATAAATACCTTTTTTTTGCTTTAGATAACTTTGTGTAGTCAAAGTGAATCATACGCATGATATTACCATTTCTTTTAAAGTTCTGTTCCACCCATCTGCCAATCAGTGATGAATATTGTACCATTAAACAAACTTGCCTGCAAAAGCCATATCTGTGGGTGAGGAAGATTCATCTAACTAACTGACAGATGAAAACATGGCAATGGAGAGAGAACAGTTAGCAGGCTGAGAGCAACAATTACCTCAGATTATCTTAAATTGCTATAGATACATCTCTAGTTTCACATGTAAAATAATGACATTGTGATTTTCTAGTAAACCTTTTGCAATGTATGATAAACATCTCAGGTTCTAACTTCCTGTAATTCTAAGGCTGACAATTTCAAAAAATGTCATCTGAAGAAAAAGAGACATCTCTCTTGAAGCTGGGAATAGGTATGCCTACCAATTATTTAATAACTAATAATTATTTGTGACTTTGTTTGTTTTATGACTTCAAAAGTTCTTGTGAGCTCTTATGTGGAACATGACATTCTTGGATCTTGATAACTCATATTTGGTTACAAATAAAGTATCTTAATACTTGTGAGTCAAAAACTATATTTTGTGTTGAAACAAAATTTCTGAGGCCTATGTATATAATTTCTTTATTTCCTAATGAGCAGTAATAAAATATATCCTATAACTTCAGCTTGATACTAAAATACTGCTCTTGCCACATTAATAGCACATTTTAGCATTAGCAAACATGGTGATATGGTATGGTTCGTAAAGAAAATGAAATAAATTCCTGATCTCTTGTGTTAGCTTTTGGGAGAAAAATGTCTCTTAAAGTCACTGAAGTTCTATGTTATTATAGGTTGCTTTCTTAATTTTAAAAGTAAGACATAATTGATTTTTGTACGAGGCATGTCAATATCTATTTTGTTCTCCAATAATATATGTTATATACTGCAAAAAAATTCAACCTGCAAAATTTCTGTCACCCTTTGCCCCACATCTATGCTGACTTTCTCTGGCTTTCTTTTGTATTCAGATAAGAGAGAACCTATTTCCCATGGCTCAAAATAAAAATCAGTTGACACTATTAACAGAAGTCAAAGATGCCTGGCTACACTCACTTGGCACCATTATTTTTATCTTCAGTGAGGGAATAAAAGAATTCACTATGCATTGCCTCAGGGATCATCTATGTCATCTGGTAAGCCTGGAGACTGGACAGATCACAGATTCAGTAATTGCTCAAATGTTACTTATGAGATAACATTTATTGAGCAGCTACATTGAATAAGGCACTGGACGTAGTCAGTTAATGTGACCGATAAATTTCCCTCTTGTCATGGATTTTGAGCAGACCACAGGGACCATATGGGCATTTATAATAGCTATAGAAGTTAGTTGGAGAAAAAGTGAGGCACAGGAAGGTCACAAACCCAAGTGGAAGCTTTCTTTATGTTTCAGGTCTTGAATTACGTCCTGTTCCTCCATGAAAATTAAAAACTGAGAGGTAAAGTGATGTTTCTGAGAATAGCAAGGAGGACACAGCAGAATACCAAGGTAATAATTCAACATAATAGTTTTGAAAGTGAAGTAGTTGGCCTCTCTAACAAACTACATCTGAGGTGAGAGAAAGAAGGTAACTGGAAGTTGTCTGCCCTCAGCAGAGAAATGGAAGCAGCAGATGATATGTAAAGGTGATTTAGAATAGGAATGGAAAGAGAAATAGGAGACAGCAACCTATCACCAGACCTTGTTGGCCCTTAAAATGCTGACCTGGAGAAAGGAAGATTGCAGATTAGAGACAGCAATCATGTTGTGTCCACAGATGAGAATCAAAATATCAGGTAAATAGTAGAAGGCAAAGGTGTTTGGCATGGAAAGGACAGTGACAACATGAATCAACAGTAGATAGACACTAGATATTGAACAAATATTAAACTTTGGACTTCTAGTAGAAGGCATGCTCTCTAAAAGATCACAGTGGTCAATGCCACAAGCAAGTGGTAAGAGTAGTAATAAATCTTGTTCTTCCTCACCTTCTTACATATGGTTTTATAGCCAAACCTTTCAGTTGAAGAAGAACCAAAGCCAAGTATCGTCTTGACTCTATGTCCCAAATGTGACAGGGCAAGATGGTGCAGAGGTTCCTCCATCTTTTGTTTTAGCTGAGGTCACTTCAGGTTTAAATAGAATTTGGTCTCCTTCATAGGGAATCTCAGAATAATTGTCCAACTCTATTATGGGAACTGAGATCTACATTTCCTAACTAATGCTTAACTTCTGTTAAACTGAACTTCTGTGAAGCCCACCTCTAGCTATCATGCAATTCTCAAGAAAGTGTTTTTGTTTTTCTCTCTCAAAACTCCATTCTCTGGACACTTAGGGCTATATTTATGTCCAGAAGACTTTCAGTTGACTATAAATGGTATCTGAGTGGTCATCTCTGGTAGGATCCCCTTAACAAAGAATTCTTCTATCCTGCTGGATAAGCAAGTGAACACTCCAAAATCATTGTTGACCTAGCAACTGGTTACTTTTATACAGGCTTATGGTAATTGTGGTGGGTAAAATAGACAAGTTGTATTCACAAGCAGAGTATACTGATACCCATGGTCTGATCTCTGGAAGGAGGCAGTTGATGAGCTAGGTGTCAGTCTGAGTGAACTTGTAATCATACTAGAGTGGAATTACTGGGTGTCTACATCAAGTCCCACTGGTACCCACAGCATCAGTCTCATTGGTCTCTATATGCTAGGAACACCAAGTACACATGGAGGAGATGTAACCACTGTTTGGAATTATTGAACATTTGTGCCCATGCTTTTGAATACCTTTGGTATAAAGGAACCCTGAGGATAGTTCCTATTCACCCTTTGTGGCCAAGACTACATCATTACATCTTTGGAAAGGAATGAGACCAAAAAGGTCCAAAGTAGCATTTGTGACCCAGGGGAAAAAAATGACCATTGTGTCAAGGTTCTTTGGTCTTCAAAGAGAAAACTACTAAAAACCTCCAGCTCCTGTATCAAGTACAAAATCAGAATCCTATGAAAAATTAACACATCTCCATCCCTCATCTATTCATCAAGGAAGATGTGTAAGGAGTAGGGCCTCATTTTTTGTTCTACTATGTTATCCCTCTCTATTATCTGCCTTTATCACACAGACATTTCTGCTTCTCACCTTACCCCTCCCTTCCTCCCTCCATTTCTTTCTAGTCACCATTCTTTCATATTTGTAGCAATTTCAAATTTTATTGTCATTAATTTTGAAGTTAAATGCTGAAACCCAATTCATTCCTTTTTATCAACATCATAAAAGTACTTAATGCAAACCATTTGTGCTTGTTGCATTCGGTATCTAGGTTGTTTTACTTCATATTATTACTGCCACTGCCTATTTCTCTCCTCTGGGTGGCAGGCAGGAATGTTTGACACCATCAAAAGACAAATTCTGCTCTGCTATAGGATCATCATTAAACCCTGAGATAATTATCCAAATTTTCAGAGATACAAATTTCTGTGAAGACATATAACCTAAAAATGTACAACAATATACCCCCTAGTGACAATTCAGAGACACTGATATAGTTGAAATCTTGTAAAAATAATTAAAAAACAAATTAACAATGACAAGTTGCCTCAAAAAGAATTAAAATAAAGAGACAAAGGAACTAAGAAAGCCAGTTCTTAACATTATAAGTAGTATGTTTGGATAGTTCTATACATAGTAAGATAAATTCATTACCTCTCATGTCTAGTGCCCCAGTGTGCCTCCCTTTGTTATGATAATCACCATGAGCGCACAATTTGGTGAGTAAAGGATCAATTGGTCTTGCAGAGTACAGTCCATTACCAAGGGAAGCCAGGGAGGGAACTCAAGCAAGGAACGTGGAAGTGGGAACAAAGATTGCCACAAAGGGGCATGGCTTACCGGCTTGCTCAGCTACCTTTCTTTATAGCCCATGCTCACCTACCTAAGGGAAGCCTGCCATGGGCTGGATTGTCCTGTATCAACTATCAATTAAGCAATTGCCTCACAGACACCCAGAGGCTAATTCATGGAAAAAATTTCCTCAAGTATGATGCCCTTTCCCCTAGTATATCTGTATGTGTCAAGTCGATAAAGTCCATTCAACACATCTAGAAATTTAGAAAAAAAAAAAAAAAGATGGTGGTGCATGCCTTTAATCCCAGCACTCAGGAGGCAGAAGCAAGCAGATCCCTATGAGTTCCAGGCCAGCCTGGTATACAGAGCAAGTTCCAGGACAGCCTCCAAAACAATACAGAGAAACCCTGTCTCGAAAAACAAAAAGCAAAAAACAAAAAAACAAAAAACAAAAAAAAGAAAGAAAGAAAGCAAAGAGCACGTTAAAACCTAAAATGGAAGAGTGGTTATCAGAAACAGCGGCAAAAGAGAGAAATAAATAGTATCATATGTGTTAATTATACACGTCAAGTAAACCTAAAACTCTATTCATCATCATATATTAGTGTATGTTAATACACACACACACACACATTTAGACAATATGTAATTGTATATAGCCAACTAAGGGATGTGTGGATAAAACACAGTGGAAGAAGTGTGAGATGATTAATGTGTGCGGTTGCTGGAAACGGGATTTAAGAATTCACAGTCTGACACCACTTCCATCACAGTCTCTACTGTGTATTGATGGTTGAAGATGTGATCTCGAATGCTTTTGTTACAGCCGCTGTGCACCCTCCACCATGACTAACTTTTATCCTTCTGGAACTGTAGTCAGACTAAATTCTTAGTTCTATACATTGTCTTTATTCTTGGTGCTTTAGCTCACAGGAGAGAATTAACAAAGTATGATTATACGTATTATAGTCATTTAGTTGGGTATAGGCAGCTCTAACAATCATGTATGCATTAAGTTCATGTAGTAAATGTGATTAATTAGCATCTCAAAAAGTAGTGTAATATTTAAAACCATGGAGATATGAACTAACTCATTATGAAGATAGTTTTCTTTGATTTCCAATAGACCTCTAGATCAAATTATTAAGTATTCATTAATTCATTCCATTAATCAGGAATGATTGACAACTATGATCTAGGGAATGTGTTAATGATACTAGTAAACCAGGGAGATATAAATAGGCACTGATGGTACTATCTTAAAGCAGACCATGTAATGGTAATCTCATCAATAAACATCTGAGGGCTCTGAAAGTATTAAAGTGTCTCTGATAGCAGAAACCTAATGGAGAGTCAGCATCAGACCGAGATCAGAAAGGCTCCAGACACTTCAGGGGTAAATCTAGTAAACCAAAAATTTTAAGCAAACATGAAAATGTGTTAGAAATTTCATATATTGTTTCTTTTTTTGTTGATGTGATAAAACAGGATGACCAGACACAACTAGTAGAAGGAAGAATGCAATGCTTTCTTATGGTCCATCCTGTCAGGAACACATGGGAAGAGACCTCAGGCAGCAGGAAGAAGAAGCTTAGAAGATTTTATCCACATGTAGGAACCAAAGAGTGCAAACTGACTCTAGGGCAAGATTGTGCGGTTTATCTTAGTTAGGGTTTCTATTCCCGTGAGAAGACACCATGACCACGGCAACTCTTACAAAGGAAAACATTTAATTGAGGTGGCGGCTTACAATTACACAGGTTCAGTCCATGATCATCATGGTGGGGAGCATGGCACCATGCAGGAAGATGAGGTGCTGGCTACATCTCAATCAGAAGGCAACCGGAAGTGGACTGTGACACCAACAGAAGCTTAAGCAAAAGAGACTTCAAAGTCTGCCCCACAGTGACATACTTCCTTCAGCAAGGCCACATCTATTTTCAACAAGGCCGCATCTCCCAACAGTATCACTCCCTATGCTCTTATGGGGGCTAATTACATTCAAACTACCACATTCTACTCACTGGCCCCATAAGCTTGTAACAATAGCATAATTAAAAATGCATTTAGTTTAACTTCAAAAGTGTCCATAGTCAATCATAGTCTCAACAATGTTTAAAAGTCCAAAGTTCAAAGTCTCTTCTGAGATTCATGCAGTCTCTTAACTGTAATACCTACAAAATCAAAATCAAAATTCTTCCAACTTGTAATGGCATGGATACAAATTACCATTTGAAAACATAGGGAAGGGAGCAGAGTTGGGAAATACTGAACCAAAGCAAGACAGAAAATCAGCTGAGCAAACTTCCAATCCTGTATCTCCATGTCTTATGTCAAAATGATTTTTATCCAACTCCTTTTAGCTCTGTGGACTGTAACATACTTTTTTTTCTGTTTGGCTCTTCTCATTCCCGGTTAGCAACTTTCCTTGACTGGTATTCCATAATTCTTAGGGTCTCTAAGTCAATCCAGGTTTCACATTCACAGATTCATGAAATTGTCTCTCTAGGTCTCCATTCAGGAATGCCCCTGACACATGTTTGGCCTTAGTTGCCTTCCTTAATCATGGAGGCAAATTCCATAGCCTCTTTCTTCTATATGCAGACTGTCTAGGTCAATTCCATACTGAAAAGGAAATATAAATCACACACTTGGAGAGGGTATGATATTATTGTGGGAAAGTACTTATAAGAGAAACCGACAACCCAGGTTAGTCTCAGCAGCTTTCTGAGACCTGACCAGAACCCCAAAAAGAGAGCATGAGCCTCTCTCCTCATTCTTCTACCCACCCCTGTACTCACCTGTAGCGACACCCATTGGACGTGTGTTTGGGAAGTCCTGTTATTTGCCTGTTATTTGTCAATAAAGTACTGTTGAGCCTATAGGGAACCAAGATAGGAGGGACTAGGAGTCCAGGAGAACTCTGGGAAGGAGAAACACAGAGAGTTCGAGATGTAACGCCATTGGAGTAGGAAGCCCGGAAACCTCTCCGGTACGAGACATACTTAGATTAACAATTATGGGGTAATTACTTAAGTCAGAGCTAGCCAGTAAGAAACAAGCAAAGCCAACAGCTTCATAATGGATATAGCCTCCTGTGTGTTTATTTGGGACTGATGCGGATCTGGAACCAGGCTGGCGGAACGGCTCCTTCTCAAGGAAAGCTTCTCTTAACAGGCGTGGTAAACGGCACAGGTACCCAGATCTCTCCCTACAATTCCCCCCCTTTTTTTATTTTTGTTTTTTCGAGACAGGTTTTCTCTGTATTGTTTTGGAGGCTGTCCTGGAACTCGCTTGGTAGACCAGGCTGGTCTCGAACTCAAAGAGATCTGCCTGTCTCTGCTTCCCAAGTGCTGGGATTAAAGGCGTGTGCCACCAACACTGGGCTACAATTCCTCTTTTATTCTAAGAAAAGATTTAGACTTAAAACAAAACTAAATTGTGTCAACATACAAAATGCCTCAATCATATATAAAACATATATACATAGAAGATGATGAGGATATTTATGCATCAAACATCATGAATAGAAATAAGACTTTACATAGTATGAAGAATTATGATAAACAATTTATAAATCACCAGAAGATATAATAATCTACCTATATCCCATCCCAAACATATCTATTTCATTTAAAACTTAAACTTATCTGAACAAGATGCTCAAGTCTCAACACTTACTACCAATCCCAATCCTAAACAATTGAAAACTAACCGTTAAACAAGTGTAAATTATCCTTCAATGTCAACAGTAGGGAAAGGGGACATAACATTGTCAGAATTACTTCCTGCTGAAATGGGACAACGATAACCTCATGGGATCCTGTTGAAAGAAAATGTTAGAGTAGTGAAAGTCTCGAGTCAACTAGTTACAACATTTGTACCCATTAACTGTTTGATGGGAGATGCTTGATTGAATTTCTTATCTTGATTGAAGTTTTGTCTGAGGCTCTGGCCGGACTGTAATAAGAAAGTGCACCATCTCAGTTAGTGAATCTGGAGTTGTCTTGAATGATGTAGTCCCAAACTGGTTTCAGGTTGGTAATTGTCTGTTCAGTGCAGTGTCTATGAGGCCATATGAGTAAGATTAGTTGATTCTGGAGGTGGGGGCAGAAGGGAAGTAAGGAGGGGAAACTGTGGCCAGGATGTAAAATACATGCATACATACGTACATACATGCATGCATACAAAAATCTCTTAATTTCAACTTCACATCATCTTGCTTGGACTTGTATTTTGCATAACAATTTGTAGAAATGTGAAGTGTCCTGTAGTTAGAACATTTAACAGATTTTGGTCTCAGAATATGTTCCATCAAATATCTAAGGTTTTGAAATAACCGTATACATCTTTAGTTGTGCTTATTTCAAAACTACTTCATCGTTATGTTTAATGCAGAATAATTTAATTCTCTAACATTTTTCAAGCAATTAATGAGTTAAATTTTTATAATATTTATTAGATTTACTAAGGTGTTCCAAGAGCAGATGATGCTGACTTTTCAAATGATATCTCATTTCACAGTTTAGCATCAGCTGTTGAGCTTGATGACTAGAGTTTCTTGCTATGGCTTTGTGGCAGTCTTATGGCTTGCCTGAAGTCGTACTTGCCTAGTCCTGTGCACAAGGCTGCCAGTGGAAGCTCTGCATGGCAGAAGCTCAACTTCTCTTCCAATGTAGCCCCAGGCTGTGGCTCCCAAAGCTCCATGCTTTAGGAAAGTCTTCTGCCAAGATCCTCAGTGTTATGGCAGATAGTGAGTCTTCACTATCAGGGGACTATGAGGGACGTTTGCTGAAGACTGGAAGACAGCCATCAGTAGAGAATTTTTTAGATTCAAACGTGATAGTGTTCCAGAATTAAAGAAATACTCTCATATTCAGATGAAGAAATGCATTTTAGCATGTTTACTTCCAAATATGCTTTTTTAACATTGGTTTGGTAATCGAAATGCCTGAGGCCCAAAAAGAGTATTTTTAATAGACAGAAAGAGCAGTCTGACAGGCATACACATATGAGCACACACAACTCACACCACACACACATACACACACACACACACACACACACACACACACAGAGACAGAGACAAAGAGAGACAGAGAGAGGGAGGCCATGAAAAAGAAAGAGAAACACACAAAAAGAGAGATGAATTGTCCTAAGTGTAGCTTTCTTTGGGGAAAAAACTAAGAATAGAGAAAAATTATAATTATCATCTACAAAAATAGCACAGAAACACTGATGCATTTTCGTCGACTGAATCAAGATTATATGTCCTTTTAAAAATAGCCTTTCTTTGCAGGCTTACAAGTTTGGAATTCCCTCAATTATTCCTTTGTGATCAATTCAATGCTGTGAATTCATGAGGATGCTGAGTGTGAGTCCATTGCATACTGGATGGACAATTTAATTTTACTCCAAAGCTATTGCAATAATTACTGATATTTCATAAAAGTTCACATTGGTCTTAAACACTGTCATCATTTTCCCAGCACCAATTAGTGAGGGAATAATTTGGTGAGCTTAAAATTCACCTCTGATTTCATGTTTTGAAAATGTGTGTTAGAAACATAACTTTTTAACCATACCAAAAGCATCTGATATCTTGAGATCACTGAGTTTGGTTTAAAATTTGCCGGAAGTCAAAGTTTATGCTTTCTTTCAATTCATTTTTTTCTCCTTTCTTGCTGCATCAATTGTACTTTATAAAGATAAGAGCTATAAAATTTAGTCTATGGTTGGATGATTTATTCAGACATATGACTCTTTAGCAATTGAACTCAAAACATCAGATAAATATGGTATTCTAGATATTTTCACACGTAACATTTTGCAGTCAAACTGGAAATCAGAATGGATAAATCTGGTTACAGTCCAATTCAGTGAAGTTAAGAAAAACATTTAACAATAAATATTGAAAATATACATGATTCCAGATTATAGAAACTTAAATGCAATCAAGGAACTTAGTACTATGTTTTTCTTCCAAGAAAATATCAATTATATATATACATATATATACATATATATATACATATAAAGTCCAAAATTAAATATATTTAATATACTGACATAATTATTTAAAAATTAGATTGATGTGCTTTAAGTATGCTTTCAAAATAAACTATGTAATCTAAGTATTATGTACAAGAAAGTTTAAAATCAAATATACTCTGGGCAGTGGCAGAGCATGCCTTTAATCCAAGCACTCTGGAGGTAGAGGTAGGAGAATCTCTGAGTTCAGTTCCAGAACAGCCATGACTATACAGAGAAACCCTGTCTCAAAAAATACATTTACAAAGAAAATGAAATATAAATATATTTTCACCTGTTATATTCTATTGGAAGATTATTCATAAAATGATATTCAATTGGATATTTTACATAAAATGTATTGCTTTAGCTTGGAAGAGAATCTTTTTCTGAGTTATCCCTACTATAAGTATCATGTAAAAAGAAATCCCTATGCCTTTAATCCCAGCACTCAGGAGGCAAAGCAAAACAGATATCTTAGTTCAAGGCCAGCCTGATCTACATGAGTGAGTTCCAGGACATACAGAGCTACACAGAGAAACCCTATCTCAAAAAATGAAAAGCTAATTAACTAGTAATATAAATTAAAAAATTCTCTACTCACTCCCTACATAGCAGCTATTAAATGTTATATGGATATAGACTGTAAAATATGTGTGATCAGTTTGGATTGGTCCCTCACTTGTCAAATTCCGTAGTGCTAGTAGACAGTATTGTGAATTGTCCTGGAAAATGATGCTGTTATTCAAAACAGCATCTTGTTAAACTTTCTCTCTCTTTCACTCACATTATCATTCCACCTCTTCTTTGTTTTAGATAAGAGTAATGCTCAAGGACGTTTTTCTTCTTCATCTTCTTATGAACAAAGGGACATCCAGCTCTCCTGATAACCACCTTCTTATCCAGTTACAGGTGACAAAAGTGGTTTCTATCTCTTTTAATAACCTATCAATGACATCAATTCATCAGAATAAGAAGGTGTTTCCTCATAAGAGAAA